GCTGCTTCACTGTTTTGAAATTTAAAACTTGGTAAAATCGCTGCCCTCCTGCCTCAAATACAGGGCATGTTAATATTTGAGACCTTGTCTCAGGATCCCAACTATCAACTGCGGGGGTTGGGGGCCTCCCAGCATATGGAGGTGGCGCTGTTGGTTGGACACTTACGCCCTCTGGTGATAGAAAGGTGTTAGTAGCAGTCTCCTGTAGAGGTGGTGCTGTTGGTTGGACACTTACACCCTCTGGTGATAGAAAGGTGTTAGTAGCAGTCTCCTGTTGTAACTTTCCCCCTGATGGCTTTTTCTGTTTTACACTTTCTTTCTCTGTCTGACTAGCTTGAGAGGCCTTCTCTTTTACTTGAATCTTTTCCTCTGTCTGACTAACTTGAGAGACCTTCTCTTTTACTTGAATCATTATGTCTTCTCCTTCCTCTACCATTGTCTGAACTGAAGGCTTTGGACTAAGCAAACAAGATACGAATGTCCACAATGGCAATGTGCCAACTGGCAGAGTCCCTGGGCTTTTCTTTTCTATTCTTTTTAAATCTTCACCATGATGGTTCCATTGTGATATATTCAACAACTCCTCCTTAAAAAGCCATGGGCTACATTTTTGTATTGTATCAACGTATGCCCTGACTGCTCTTGATTTTACTGGGATGCCTCCTTCCTCTAACAATTTACTTAACACTCTTTCAGTTTGTTTTTTACTAATTTCTGATCCCATATTTCTACTATAATACAACCCAACAAGATGACGCCAAACAAAACCGAGACAGAATGAAATAAAAAGGGAACAACAAAAAGTCATTATAGCCTTTCTATCCTCCTGACATGTGCATCCGTCCTTTCTCCCTATCTGTTCCTCAGACGTAAATAGTTTTTCCTCAGATGTGAGCGGTTTTTCTTCCGTCTCACTCATCTCCAGGGACAGGCAACTTAAAACAAAAGTGAAGCAAAATAAAAGAGGAATCTTAAAATGGCTACCCATCCTCTCGCCCTGCCCTCAGGGGCGAGCAGTTTCACTTACCCTCAGTCGCTCCCCGTGCGAGCCACCAAATGCCGCAGTCTGGCTGGGCACAATCAGGAGCCACTTGTCAAAAGAAACTAACTTTATTTTTAGAACCACACACGACAAACAAAATAGTCTCTCAGGAAAAACCCTCAGAGCCTCAACTGCCACCACCGGCTTTCCCCAAGCCTCTCTCTCCCCCACAAGCTTCTCTCCACCTCCCACAATCCTCCTGCTCTTGAGGCCGATTGGCTGGGTCACGTGGGCGGAGCCAAAAAAGTCCCCCAATGAGCAGCTCCGTGGTCTGAAAGGGCAGGGAAACAGTCCAATGAGCATCACCGCAGAGGAGCCAATCAGCTAGATGTTGCTGGGGCTGCTGTGAGCCAATCGTCAGCCGGCAGCTGGAAGTTTGCTGGCAGCTGGAAGTTTGCTGGGGCCCCTTCGGCTGTGGCTCTCAACAGGGGAAGTGGACAGCTTCTCACCCTGGAGTACCTGCCCACTCTGGCTCCACTATGGGAACTCCATAGAGCTGCTGCTCTGGGACATGGACTACTTTGGTGGAATTAGCAGGCTGTGACAATTGTCATTCCATGGGCTGTGCTGTTGACATTCCAGTGCCCCTATCTTCAGAGATTTTCTCTCTGGGTATGAGAACCCATACCTAATGGAAGGTAGGGTCCCACACATTTTGATTTAGGAAATGGCCTGACTCCAGCATAGGGAGAAGAAGCAATAAACATGACAGCTGTCCTGAAATGATCTCCCAGGCCTGGTTTTCTGAGGACAAGTGCCGGGTTTCTGTTCTCGTGACTAAAAGGTTCAGGGGTCACTCCAGTTAAACGGGGCTAACTAGGCTGCACGAAATAAGCACACAAGAGACACAAATACCTTTTTCCTTGGGGTTGCTGTGACAGCTCCTCTGACCTTAAGGGTTCGCAGGAAGAGAGAGAGTGAGAGTGTGCTCTGACCCCTTTTATTGAGAAGTTATTTAAATGAGGCAAGGGGTCAGGTTTCAGGGGGCTGAATATCTTCATTATGTCCACTGTCAGCAGTTTGACTGACACCTGGGTAGGCCACACCCAAGGCACTTCCATGGAAGATTCTATCCTAAACAGGGCAAGGGGTTATATTACAAAGGAACAGGTGAGCATAGCTTCACCCATGGGGCTGTAGCAAGACACACCCATGCATGAGACACCAACCCTCGCACCCAAGAAGGGCGCCACATTTCTGCAACGGAGTGCCTCAGCACCCAGCCGGGGAGTGTAACTCAGTCACATGTAAGGTTGGCCTCCCACAGACAAGGAGAAGTTTGTCAGTCAAGAGAATGAACACAATATAGAGGAAGATGCAGCAACATTTTGAGGATGAGGGAAGCCACTAGTTTATGAGTTTGGTCAGTAACTTTGATTATCTTCTACCAACGAATTCCCCATTCTTCCATGCTCTGAATTTTTACAGCAGTTACTGCCTAGATACCCAAGTTTGGGCTCATGTCTAACCCTCCTGAATGCCCGCACCATGCCTGCTGGAGGGACCTTCCCCTTCTGTAGTGTTCTCACTTATATGAATCAGTTATACATAGCTCTACCTTTGCCTCTAGTCATTTCTGCTGCAGTTTAAAGGCAACAAACTCTAGAAGTCCCAGCCCCAGTGGGAGTCATGGAGGAGCAAAGAGACCTGGATTACTCTTGGGAGATTTGAGGGCCCATGTGCTTTAGGAAAAAAAAAAGAAGCCTTCCATCTGGGACTCAAGAGGAAGGCTATACTAGCTTCCTTCTGCAGAACAAGGTCCCAGGCAGCAGGGTGTCCATAGCCTAGCTGTGTCTCTCAGCTCCTCCTACACCCCCAAAGTAGCGCACCCCGTTGCCTTTTGAACCTCTCCAAAGCCCTGCTTTTGTTGCAGTCTTCCTTCTTAGTTGTGACGAACCATTAGATTCTGGGACTGGAACCTGGGCTCTCTTCAATGTGGTCCTTATGCACCTTTCATCACATCTCTGAAATGGGGGAAACCAGAACTGAACCAAGCCCCTTACACATCCTCAACCAGCTCTTATTGCGACTTCTGCACTGGTGCTCGGATCACCCCTCTGCCTGGGTCACGGATCTGCACAACAGCATAGTTTCTAGACTTTTTATCAGGCTCACAAATCATAGCTATCACAATACGGGAAGAGTTAAGTGGGGCAGGGAGAGATTGGTACTTATAGATCTATTAATTTATTTTATTTTTTTTTAATTTTTTATTGTTGGTTGTTCAAAACATTACAAATTTCTTGACATATCATAGATGTATTATATCTGGGGTCTAATCTTGGCCTTGACCCTTTCTAGCTGAAAAAGTCAGCGTTTTGATCTTTATATTTCTGTGAAGTGACGACAGCTAGAGAACCGTGGGGACAAAGCATGAGGGGAGTGCCTCTGTGTCAGTTCCTCTTCTCTATTCTTTGTGGAGTCACACTTTCGACCCACTGTTAACCCTGCTGGTGGTGTGGTCAAGGCATTAACCCCAGCTCATACCTGGTGTTGGTGCAGCAAGTGGAGGCCCTCCAGGGAAAGGTGTAGGGGTACATTTAACTGCATTCTTTCTAACACTCGCTAAATGAATTAATATGTTTTCTTATTTTTAGATGAAAAAAAAATGTATCATTTGAAGTCTGAAAGAGGGGCGTTTTCTCTTTAAAAATGGTACCTGATGTCTTTTCGTCTGCCTCTAAAATACCTCATAAGACACAGAAAAAGAACAAAATTGACAACAGCAACAGAAACCAAGATGGACAGTAACTCAATTGTCAGAGAAATTTTATCAACTAGGTTTAAGACCCCTGGAGCTAGCCTGGATGTGAGCAAGCAATGAACAGATTCTGGTTGAGGGACAACCTACAGAATGAAAGCCCTCTGCTACTCAAACTGTCAACCTCAGCAAGCTAGGGTAGGACTGAAGAAATGTTCCAGAGTGAAGGAGAGTTAAGAGACACCATGACAAGGGCTGGGATTGTGGCTCAGCAGTAATAGCGCTCATCTAGCACGTGCAAGGCCCTGGGTTCGATCCTCAGCACCACATAAAAATAAATAAATAAAATAAAGGTATTGTGTCCAACTACTTCTAAAAAAATGTTGAGAGAGAGAGAGAGAGAGAGAGAGAGAGAGAGAAACACCATGACAAAATCAAACGTGCTCCTGGATTGGATCCTAACTAGACAGGAGAAAGGCATTGTAGAGATGGCTGGGGGAATTTGGACAGGTCTGTGGATTAGATGGTGGCAGTGTCAATGTTGACTTTTCCGGTTTGAATGACAATTGTTTTTGTGTAGAAGAGTGGCCTTGTTAAGGAGGAAATACCCACTGAGGTATTTAGGGGTGATGGGACTTGGCGCCTGGGGGAATTTGGACAGGTCTGTGGATTAGATGGTGGCAGTGTCAATGTTGACTTTTCCGGTTTGAATGACAATTGTTTTTGTGTAGAAGAGTGGCCTTGTTAAGGAGGAAATACCCACTGAGGTATTTAGGGGTGATGGGACTTGGCGCCTGCAACTTAACTACTTTAGAAAAACAACCCGTAGTCCTACCAAATCTTAGGCTGAGGCAGGAGTGTGGCTTGAGCCCAAGAGGTCAGGTCCACCAGCCAGGGTAGCATAGTGCGACAGTGTCTCAAAACAACAAACATTCAAATAGTTTGGGAAAAAATAATAAAAATGGGAATAGTCCTAAAAAGAAATGAGTTGGAACACGTGAAAAAAAAAAAGAGAGAGAGAGATAAACTCAGTGAAGGGAATACAGGAGTTCTTGGTTACTCTTTTCGAGATCACTTCTGCACCTTTTATTTCAAAATGAGTTTTTAAAATAGTGTGTGCATCCATCAAAATTTCTGTGTAAATGTTTATACGTGTGTATATAAGTACACATGTGCATAGTACATCCAGGAGCCAAGGTCTCAACTCAGACTAATTAAATTAACTAATTAAATTAATTGGGGGGATTGGTACCTCACCTGTGAATTTACCACTCCTTCCCTCAACTGCATCATGCAGTGCCTGCAAATTTGAGACCCCAGGTTGTAATCCAGCGCTCATGATAATCACCGACCGGTGGGGCTTGTTAAACTGGGGGGTTGCTGGCGCGTCTCGGGTGAGGGCAGCAGGCTTGCGGTTCTGCGGTCCGGAAAGCGCACAGGTGGTCTAGATTCCGCCCCCGCCCGGGCCTCGTGCGGCCTCAGGTGCGGCAGGGCAGGTGAAAGCCGGACGCCCGCTGACCGCCCCGCGCGCCGTCATGGACGCTGCACCCTCATCCCCTGAGTCGGGTCCCCTGTCGCCTGTCCTTCTGGGCGCACCTCAGGCCGAGGTGTTGGAAGACGTGCTGCGGGAACAGTTCGGGCCGCTGCCCCAGCTGGCTGCCATCTGCCGGCTGAAGCGGCTGCGCTCGGGCTGCTACTCGTCGACGGAGGACCTCCAGTTGGTGCTGGAGCGGCGGCGCGTGGCCAACGCCAAGGAGCGCGAGCGGGTGAGGGGTTCCCCAGGGCCGCTGGGCGCGGTCACCACGCGACCGGGTCCTGGGAGGGAGCTGACTTCCCGCAGAGGTACCCACCACCAAACATCAGCAGGATCCCCTGTGCGCCCCTTTGCCGTCGAAACGCAGGCCTAGAGGCGACTTGGACCTCCGGAGGCCCGACGTGGGTCCTTAGCTTGTCGGGAGAATAAGTGGCCTTGTTACTGGGCACCTGCGTCCGGCTGCTTCGTGCCTGGGTGTGGGATTGCTGCCCCATCTGCTGACTCTCTTGGACTTGTGCAGGGAGGTCCAGGAGAAGGGTAGAGGGGGACCCTGCCAACTTCAAAACTCTTTCCCCTTGGCAGGTGCTTTTAAAAAGTTCAGGGCTGCTGGACTTGAACTTCAGTCTCAAGCTGTGGCGTGCTTGGGCACAAAGGGGACCCCTACTTGTTTTCTTGACCGTGGCCTCTTAGCCTCGAGCAAATGCAGGGTGAGGGGGAGAAGGGGGCTTAATGGAAGTTGTTGTTCTTAATTTTTTTTTTTTTTTTTTTTTTAAGTAACGAAACACAGTGCCCCAGTGTGAGCCTAAATTCCTTCTCAACCCCGCAGAATGAAAAAAGCGACTTTCCTAGTCAGGGTGGGGACGCGGTTAATCCTGTGGGCCGTGGTTAGAGCGTCATCTGCTGGTATTTTTGGGGTATCTCTGACAAAACTTGGCCCCAAATGGTCAGGTCTGGTCTCTCTCTCTGTTCTGCCCTTTGTAATCTTTGGGCTTGGTTGCCATGGAGGTGAACCTATAAGGGGAAGGACGAGGGACATAAGAGCCAGAGAAGCGCTCATTTAGGCCTAGGGCTTGGAGGATAAGTTCTGTGGAGGGCAGGCCCTAAACACCCCAGCCAGGTCCTGTGAAATTAGCCTACTAGAAAGCTTTGTATGGGAAATAGTATGAGGAGGAAGGAGCAAGTCAGGGCAGAAGACTTAGGGAAGTTGGGGAAGTTGTTAAAAAAAAAAAAAGGGTAAGTATGATTTTTTTTTTTTTAACCAGAGACAAGATATTTTATACAAATTATCCTCTGATCTGATTTGATGGCCCTAAAATGAGATTATAATCCAACATTTTAAGTGAGCCTTTCCCACCAAGAAGGAGTTGCCTTCTGTAGAGAACTGGGCCTCATTTTATCCACTTGAAAGCTAATTACCTTTATTGTTCTTTATAATGATAAAATCAATATGCCCAGGGAATACAGAAATGACTGAAGAGGGACCGGCAATACTCATGACAGATGACCACCAGAACGTATTTGCATATGTCCCCGTCAGTCATTCATTTTTCCTAGTTGTATGTCATGTATATAATTTTACAAAATTGTGATTATTCAATATCTTATCATTGTAGGTCTTTTCACCTAACATCACTAAATGCATTTCCTTGTTTTCTTTTTGACTTTACAGTCAAAGGAATGGACCATAACCAATTCCATCTTCCATGGATAGGCTGTACGTTGTTTGTAACTTTTTACTGGTATAAGTCTGTGTGTATCTGATAATTGGTCTTGGAATAAAAATGCTAGAAGTGGAATTACTGGGACATAGGGCACATCGGATCTCATGACTTTTGATACAAGTTTCCCACTTGCTTTCAAGAAAGGTTTATATATTTTTTTTATCCCTGATGCAGAGTACAGGACTGCTTTCTTTTTCATGGTATTCCTGATCCAATTAACAAAACAAATGTTACAAGCTTGGTACATGAAAAATGGTATTTATAATTTATTGACCTTAAATCTTTTTATACATTTGCTGGTCATTGGATTCTCCTGTCAATTAGCCTGGTCTCTCATCTGTTTCACTTCAGGTTGGGACAACTCTCAATATATTGGTTTTGTGGAGTTGTAGGGGCCAGCTCTCCCAGAGCCTATGTCCTCTAGACAGACAAACATCAATGTTCCAGGCCTTCAGAGCTGAGGTATTAGACCTTGAGAATAGGGGAAGTAAAAGTGAGGAGTCTTTGAAGTGTGAGCAACATATGGACTTGTATCAGTAACTCACTGGGAAAGAGGTTGATAAGTTGAGGGCACAGTGATGAAAGAAAGATGTATGTACATTTTATTCAGCAACAATAGTGCTTATTGAAGACTAGGTATGAGATCTGGATGAGGAGGGCCTTTCTTTTTTTTTTTTTTCCATCATGGTTCTTATTCACCAAAAAGATATATAGTAGGTACTTTCTACTTTGCAGATGAACAGACTGAGTCCTAGTGATATGAAGTATCCACCTGCTCCAAAAGGCCAAGGATGGAGCTGGGTTTTTAAATCCTAGTGTAGTTGCTGCAGAGAGTTCAGCCCCTACTTTTATTGTTTCTGTTATAATGAAGTAGGTGCATTCTCAAAGGAAATGAAGCAAGGTCAGTGTGAACAACACACCTTCCAGCCCATCTGCCTGCAGAACTGAGTCGATTCTACTACCCCTGTCATCTGGCTGTTAAGTTCAGTGCACACAGAGATGTGACCCTTTGTGGGATGCCTGCCTTGATTCACCTCCCAGATGAGAGGGTGGTGGAATCAAGACCTCACAGCTCTCTTCTGTGGTTTGGGGGATGTCTGCATAAGTTAGTGTCTGTTGTCTTAGCATGTGTGAGGCCCTCAATTCAATACCCAGCATTGTCTGTACCTTTTTGTCTTCTAGATAAAAAATCTCAACCGTGGTTTTGCCAAACTGAAGGCACTTGTGCCATTTCTTCCCCAAAGCAGGAAGCCTAGCAAAGTTGATATCCTTAAAGGTGCATCTGAATACATACAAGTTCTCAGTGATGTTTTGGAAGGATCCAAAGACTTAGAGGTAAAGGTTTAAAAATTTAGAACATTGATAGTCACCATTTATTGAGCTCTTTCTGTATGCCAGGCACTGTGCCAAGTAATTTTTAGTCTTTAAAAAAATTTTTTTTAAATTGTAAATAGACACAGTACCTTTATTTTTCTGTGGTGCTAAGGATCAAACCCAGTGCCTCATATGTTCTAGGTGAGCACTCTCCCATTGAGCCACAACCCCAGCCCCTCCAGTTAATCTTTATAATAATCCTCAGAGCTACTTGTGATATTTGACAAAGGAGGAAATCAAAATTCATGTGAAGGCCACACAGCTAAGTAGTGTGAAGACTGGGATTTGAACCCAGATCTGGATGAGCTTTGCAGTCAAGTCTCTGGCCATCTATCTACTTCCCTTCTGTTACTGTCCAAGGCACTTAGATGCTAGTTGCTAAATCTTTAATAGGACCTCAACAGCTGGAACTTAGGAGGAGGCTTCCATGAAAGCACTTTGGGGTGGCAGTTTCCTATCAGCAGAACACTCATCAACAGAGATCCAGAAGGGGTTTTGCAGTTATTCAATGAGACAATCTAAATGAACCTGCTTTGTAACCTGTAAAGCATTGTAGTGTTGCTACCATTATCAGAGTGGCTTAGCTTAGAAGTGTCCATAGGCAGTGGGAGGTATAGGCTCGTTCATGGGTTTCATAGAGAGGCAAACAGTGAAGGCCTGAAAATGGATCCATGATCCCAGGGGAGATATGAAGAGACAGAAGGCCTTTGAGATGAGCTCCAAGTGACACCATTAGCAAGAGGAGATCATTAGGATTAAGTGACAGGGAGGTGGAGGAACAAGATGGGATCATCAAGTTGAGAAGGAGAGAATGATGGAAAACCAAAGGTAGAAAATCAGGATGCTGCTGAGACCAAGGAAGGCAAAGGAAGAACAGTAATTAGGTTTAGCATCTGAGAGATGGAAGAGGAGCAGGCTGGGAGTCAACTCATGGGAAGTCAGGTGGGCATTATCAGTGAATATCTGGGGTTCAAACAGGGAAGTGGAAAGCTTCAGGTCTATTCACCTTGACAGTATGAGAAAGGAAATAAAGATCAAAAGAATGGTAAGAAGAAAACTATCCGGTCAAGTGAAGGCATTTTCTAAGTAGCAGTGTGCTGGTGTTTAAGGACAGAAGAGGATACTAGAGAGAAGAGAAATGAACATTCTAGAACCTAGAACATTCTAGTAGAACATGTTATACTAGAACATTCTAGTAGAACTTTTTGTCCACTAGTCCTATTCAGTTGACTCCTAGGAAGCTATATTTTGCAATGGCAGGAATGGATTGTCCTATTGGCCAAATTAGATGGCATGGTCCTAGGGTTCAAATATGTGCAGGTGACTAATTGTGTAACAAGTGCTTTGTTCTGTGCAGTCATTATAAAATATAGGATTTATTTCATGCCACAATATTTCAAATGCACAACATTTTGAGTTTACAGAAGGAGAAAATACAGGCTACTAAGCAATACTTTCTCTCCATAACTGAAGCATTGCCCTTATGTAAAAAGTTTGAAATATATTTTATGTAGCCAATATAGCCCAGTTGATATATTTCATATAGCTCAGGGATGTAGCTCACTTGACAAAGTGCTTGCTTAGCATGTGTGAGGCCCTCAATTCAATACCCAGAATTGGAAAACCAAAAACTCAAAACCCCCCAAACCAACAAAAAAAAAAACACAAAAGTACAACCAAGAAAAGTCTGAATGTCATATTATACTGTTTGACAACTAATTTGGTTTCTAGAAACAAGAGCCAGAGGAGCAGAACTATAGCAACAATACTTGTGAATCACATGTTTCCTTGGCTAGAGAGCTATCAAGAAACGTTATCCGACATACCAGCTGTGCCATTGGCTTGAAGAGTGAAGAGGAAGGGCCCTGGGCAGATGGTGGCAGTGGTGAGCCAGCATACACTTGTTGC